AGAGTAATGAGAGTAGGGAGTGAGAGGAGAGGAGATGAGATGAGATGAGATGAGATATGATGAGGTTGAATGATAGAGGAAGGGAGAATGAAAAGGTGGAGGGGAGGGAAAGAAGAACGAATGGAGGAGAGGAGGGAGAAGAAAAGCAGTGGTGGTTTCCACCAGGGGATTGGAGCAGGGGTAGAGCTGAACGGAGAGGGCAGGGCACATGAGATGAATATGAGTGAGCATGTCAGCAAGTTGTGAGTGAGCATTGCATTTCAAGGGAATGGAGAGAGATTCTTTCTCATTTCATGTTAGCGAGATGGCTGGAGGGCGATAACAGCTGCGTCGCTCAGGATGAAAGTTGCTCGAGCTCGCCTGAAAGCTTTCGTCCTCCTCCTCTGTCTGTCGGCATGCGACACAAGGACGCATGTCAGGAAGGCTCTTGGCCGTCTTCCCGTCGCTCATGCACGCTGCGAGAGGGAAGAGCAGATATGCATGGAGTTGTTCGCAGGGAGAGGACGGGTGTTGAGTTTGAGAGGAGGAGTAGTGCGGGAGAGCGAAGGAGAAGAAGCGAGGCGGAGCATGCTGAAGCAAGGCGAGCAAGATATGGTGCGTCTCATCCTTCAGGCCTTGCAGGGCATGGGCTACCTCGAGAGCTCGCTGTGCCTCCAGCGAGAATCCGGAGTCATGCTGCAGAGTGAGGGGGAGAAGCTGCGGGCGTTGAGGAGAGATGTGATGGAGGGCGAGTGGAGAAAGATCTTGTCCGAGCTTGAGAGGGAGGATTGGGCGTCAACCAGCCTCAAGTATGTGCTTTGCGCTGTTGACCATGAGCTCAGAGCTTGCAGGTTTGTGGTTGCGAATCAGCTCTTCTTGGAAGAGCTTCACTCTAACGACAGGAAGGGAGCTGAGAAGGTTCTTCATGTAGGCCCCGAGCTGCTGCTTGTTTCCTCCTGATCCGCTGCCGTGTAGGATCACGTCTTGCCTAATGCTCTGAGCCAGAGGAGGCGGGAGGAGAGCCAGCGGCTTGCGGCAATGCTGTCACAAGATGACATCAGCACGACGGGAGGGCATGCGGTGAATGAGCTTGTTGAGGTGACGGGAGTGACGGGGAGCGAAGGGTTTCACTTCTCGTCTCCTCGTCTTGGAGGAGATCTTGAGCTGCCTCCCTGCCCACATGCGTTTGCCGCGAGACAGGCTGTGGAAACTAGTTAATCAGGTGAGAAAGTAGGAGGCAGGGGAGGGCAAGGGAAATGAAGATGAGGAGGACGGAGAGTGGTAAGCGAGGAAGGAATATGAAGTGGTTCGGGGTTGGCTATCGCTCATGTTTCTGGCTTCAGGCTCAGATTTACCAGCGAGAAAAATCTTTGTGAGTTCTGATTCAGAAAGCTCCTTCTCGAGCTGCTGACATCATGGTCAAGGTATCCTTACACGAGGCAGAGCGAGTTGTCGCTGCTGGATGACCTTTCCTTCGACCCCTCGAGTCTGCTATGTAGCAAATCGCATGCTGCAACGCCCTCCGTGACAGTCGTGCAGGTCTGCATCGAACCATCAAGTTCCACAAGTGAGAAGGAGCTGAGATGTTTGTTGCCCTCATGCTTCTCAACAGAGACGAGGTCTGGGTTTGCAAGTTCTCTCCTTCAGGCAGATTCCTCGCTACCGCATCCAAGGATGGAAACCTGGCGATCTGGTCGTCCCAGGAGCTTCTAGGTGACTCGGGAGCTTCCGGGGAGACTTGAGTGACCTGTGTCCTGGTCAGTGCCAACGGATGCCACAGCAGCAGCAGCTTCATGCAAGCCCGTCCTCTCGTATTCGACCTCCTCTGAATATCTCTTGCAGCACAATCCCGAGAGGGGCTGGTGCTCAACCTTTTGAATGGGTTTCAAGTTTGCAGCATGTGAGTCATCGGCCGTGAGCGGTCAACCTGTCTGATGTTGCTGTTCAGAGCATGGAGCTCCGACGAGAGCATGGTCCAACTCTTCCTACCTCCTGCCGTGTCCTTTCGTCATCTCCCTCCCTGATCTCTGCTCCCCATCCCTCGAGTCGCAACGCAAGAGGCTCATTTCGCTTCAGGTTGTCTGTGCAGGCCTTGACTCGTGCCGCATCTCTGCCTGGAACATTCCCAGTGGCATCCAGGTTGGCGTCGCGAGGAAGCGCAGGAGTGACGGAGGCCGGCAGGTCCCTCTAGCCGCGCAGATGAGGAAGCCCTTGAGCTGCGTGGAGTGGCTTGCGGGGACCTGGTACTGCCTGGGAGGAGGAGGAGACGAAGACATTTTTGCTTGGGATCTCTTGGTATCCTCCGCATCCTCCGCTTTGTCATTGACAGCTGGCAGATCTCGCGGGAGAGCAGACGGTCGAACAATCCTTCCTTCGTGCTGTGGACTGAGCACAGGTTTCGTGAGACTCTCCCACTCTGTCTCACGGGGCGCAGGAGTGTACACTCGCTCGCATGCTCCTCGGATGGCTCGAGCCTCGTCGCCCTCCTGTCTGAGCAGGTCTTTGACCTGTGCTACCATCTCCCCCCTCGTCTGATGTCTCGCTCAGACAATCAATGTATACGACATCTACCAGATCTGTGACGAACATGCCAAGTTCCTCTCCAAGCAACAGGATGGAAGATTTGGGTCGACAGATGCGCTTGGTGAGCGGGGAGAGAAGAGGGGAGGAAGACATGTTTGCGGGGAGTGAGGATAGGACGGAAGGAGAGCAAGTGGAGCAGGAGGACGAGGGTCTTGTTGACCGCAGCTGCAGAAGGAGATGTTAGTCTCTGGAGTTCGGCTGCTGTGCCTTTGAGCTCAGAGGGAAGCGAGGGGAAAGGAGAGGAAGTAAGGAGCGAGCATGCGAGGAAGCGGATCGAAGTGAAGGATGCGAGGAGGACGTCGCTAAGGATCAACGGCACTCACATCCCGTCCTACCATCCTGTGCGTCAGATCACAAACCCGGTAAGGAGCAGGGCCGGGGAGTTTTAACGTGCTGAGAGCGCCTTGGAGGTCTACGGTCTCTCCGCCATCCTCTCCCTCAAGCTCATGTCCGACGACCACACCCTCCTCCTCTCCTGCCTGTCGCTGCAGGCGAGCAAGGGCGAACCGCAAGCTGGTTCTGATCGAGAAGCTGCAGGGTGAAGCTGAGCTGGTTACCTGGGACCTCAAGTCCGTCTCCTGTGTGCAGGTTAGGAGCTTCCTCACCAGTTGCTTGCAGTCTCGCTATCACTCGCGTCCTCTTCTTCCCTCTTCTCCTCCCTGTCGTTCTTGCTCCTGCTCTTTCTTCATTCTCGACTAGATCCTCGTTGTTTCACTCTTCTTCCTCATTCTCCTTCCTCTTCCCTCCTGCTTCTTGACCCTCACGTCGCATCAGCGCTTCCGGGGACATGAGTTTCGGCGCTACCTGACGGGCTTCACCGAAGGAGGCTTTCAAGATATGCTGATAGTGAGCGAGATTGAGTTGTTGATGTTGATGATGTTGTTGTCAATGATGATGATAATGATAATGATGATGATGATGGTGATAATGGTGATGATGATAGAGATGATGATGATAATTATGATGATAATGATGGTAAAAATGATATTGATGATGGTGATAATGATGATAGAGATGCTGCAGATTTCTCTTCCTGATGTCACTGATGTGTTCACAGCTGGGAGGGAGTGAGGACGGGCTCATACGCGTGTGGCATCGCGACACCGGAAGGCTCATCAAGGTTTGCTAGCTTACAAGTGCGAGAAGCTCATGGGGGCCGCAGACGCTGGTGGGTCACGACCAGTCTGTCAACTCGCTCGCGTGGCTGCCCAACAACGACTTCGTCATGGCGTCCGCGTCAGATGATTTCTCCGTCAGGCTGTGGGGGCCGAGGATGCTGCAGAACTACATGGAATGAACTCGTTCCTCCTCCTCCTCGTCGTCGTCGTCGTATCTCCCCATCCCTTCTCCCTCCTCCTTCAGCCCGGCTTCTGCTGCCAGCCTCCTCCTCCTGGTTGCCCCAAGTAGTAAGGGTTCGGCTGCCCAGGAACCTGGGGGAACTGCTGTTGGGGCATGGGATACAGCATGGGGAACTGCGGGAACGGATGCCTGAAGGGCTGCCAGCTGGGGTTACCCGGAAACTCCGGGTAGGAAGCGGCAGCTCCGAGCATAGCAGGGTTTGGCCACATCATGGCTGCCTGGGGCATGGGAGGGATCGCAGTCGCCATGCCCGCGTTGCCATGTACAGCCTGAGCTGGACGAGAATCCTTGTGCCTCATCCCTCGTCCAGCTGCTTGCGGATTCGCTGAGTCTGTTCAAGTCAGAGGAAGAGAAGCGGCGGAGGAGAGAGCCACCGTTGCTTGCATGCGATCGATTCTTGTTCTTCCTGCCTTTGAGCTTTTTCTTCGCCTCAGCCTCCTCCTCGTCGTCGCTGTACTCGATTTCATCTTCTCCTGGTTCTTCATCGAACATGTTGGAGGCGTCGGACCTGCATTCTGTCACCCTCCCCTCCCCCTCCTCCCTCCTTACCCCTTCACTTGACACACAGCTCTGTCAACGGGCTTGGCGCTCTCGACCGCATAGAAGACAACCTTGCCGACCACCAACCGATCCTTGTCCATGTGCTCTGGGCTATACGAAGTAGCCGAGAGGAGGCGTAGTAGGAGGCGGGAGAGAAAAGTCAAGAAGTCAGGAGAGAAGTCAAGAGCTCAGGAGCGATCGGCCCAGCAGCGTCTCACCTGCTGAACTTGATGATATAGAAAGGCTCGTAGATGGGCCCGAAGATCTCAGCGACAAGCCCAACAGCAGTCTTGTCCTCGAAGCAGATCACCGCCCCTTCGTCCAGCGCCGGTACTCCCGCTTGTGCTTGAATCACTACGCTCGCATCCACCACCGCCGAGATGCTCCCGAGTTGTTCGATCGGCCCGTCAACAGACGCGACCTCCATGGACGGTACCGGCGGTTCAACCTCGTTCTTGGTTCGCAGTTGAGCTTCAGTAGCATGCGAACCATCTTCGTCTCCTGCACTGCCGTCACTCCTTGCAGACCTCAAGATCTTGTTCACCAGACTCCTGGTTCACTTGCTCTTGGACTTCGACCTTCTCGTCCTCACTGTCCGACCAATCGCTGGACTCTTCCTCCTCTGCCTTGGCTTCTCCTGATGGCAAACTTGGCTCCGGCGCTTGCCTGGACGGCGCCGACAAGTCTGAAGACGTACCATGTTGAGCACATGAGACTGGGAGGGAATCGAGTACCTTTCTCTTGGGGAACCTCTGCGGAGGGGGGGAGGGATGGTCGGTCCATAACGGCAGCAGCAGCAGCAGCCAGGTCAGCGTTAACTCGATCGACTCGCATCACTTCCTCGACATTTCGAATCCAATCTTCGTGCTGCTTCGATATTGAAACTTCTTCTGCTCTGTCGACCTGCATGCTTTCCTCGTTCGCCTCCTTTTTGTCAGTTTCAGCGGCAAGGGGTTCGTCTTGCTCGCCAACAAAGGCTTGTTCCTCAGAATGTATTCGTGTCGGGTGAACCTCAGCTCCAGCACCATCGACTTCAGTTCCCATGCTCGTATCCATGCCGCCGTTGGAATTGTCTATTTACAAAGGTCACTTTCATTTACGAGTGCATTTGCGCATCAACACATATCGTGTCCTGAACCAGCATTGGGGGACGCCTTCCCATCTGCCGACATCCTCCTTCCTGCATCTTTTCTTCTTCTTTCTCAGCAAAGTTGTAGATCTATTAGTTTTTCTGCCTCAAATGCACTCTTTTCATCATTTTAACCCAAATTCTTTGAAACAGTCCTCGTGATTGAGTGCTTTCCTCTACTCACCTCCTTTACTTCGACGCATATTCTTGCCTCACTTCTCTCTCTCTTCTGCTGACACTTTTCTGTTCATACTTGACTTCGCCAGCACATCATCATCAACCAACTTGTCTCTCTCACACACTTATCCGACACAAACCTACCCATTGATCAACCGCCCCCATCCTCTCTATCATTCCTGATCCCCCAGCTCTCATCCTCTTCTCTCCTCCCCATGTCTCTGCTCCTATCATCTCCTCCCTCCCTCTTGCTCTCCTTGTTCGCCTCCTCCTCTCTCCTTCTCTCGCCGCTGCTGCCATGCTCGATGCGACTGCTGCCGCATTCCGGCTGAATTTCACACGAGGATGAGCGGGGATGAGGGTAACAATATGAGCGGGGACGAGGCACACTATCGGAGCATGGCATGCTTGTCAGTGCTGCTGCCTGTGTTCAACGCGCAGCCATGGCTGCCGCTGGCGGTCAGGAGCATCATGCAGCAGCAACTGGGAGACGGTCGCAGCCTCCAGCTCATCTGCGTCGACGACGCTTCCTCGGACGGCAGCCTCGAGTTCCTGCTCGAGCTCGCTCGACTGCTCGGGGATCGAGCGACGGTAGAGGCCTGCGAGTGGGAGGAGAGGGGAGAGGATGCGACGGTCACCAGGCGGGAGAGGAGAAATCTAAATGGCACAGATAACAAGGAGGAGGGGAAGGAGGAGGAGGAGGGGGAGAAGGGGAACGGGGACCGCGAGGAGGAAGCAAACAACGGTCAGCCCCCCCAGAAGAGGATTCGGATAGGAACCAACGGAGATCGAGAGAGCACGAACCCGGCGCTTCTCAACATGCAGTTGCGAGCAGCAGAGGAGGAAGATCACCCGTCCTTCACTCACCAGGAAGAGCCCGAGGATGTGAAGCAGCTCAGGACTCGCCCGGTCACTGCGGAGGAGGTAGCAGCCTCGAGCCTGAAAGAACACTCGCTCAAGGTCCTCACATGGAAGGATGGCGTGAATAGAGGACAGGGAGCCGCCATGTCCATTGCCTTGTGAGTGACCTCCCTCCCTCTTCCTCCCTCCCTCCCTCCCTCCCTCCCTCCCTCCCTCTTCCCTCTCCCTCCCTCCCTCCCTCTCCCTCCCTCCTCCCTCCCTCTCCCTCCCTCCCTCCTTCCCTCCCTTCCCCTTCTCCGTCGATATCCTTGCCTCGTCCCAACTTGACCGCGGAGCTGAAGATCGAAGGTCAACACCAAGTATCTCGCGCAGATGGAAAGCGACGACGAGCGATCCAATCCCGATGCCTATCGGAGTGAGTCACTGCACCTTCCTCTACCTTCCATTCCCCCCTACCTCCTCCTCCTTCGTTCTTGCTCCCCCCTTCCTCCTCCTCCTCCTCCTCCTTCAGCTCTTCGACAATCCTCCTGCTCTTCCCCCTCGCTTCCCCGAGAGGAGACCAAACTCGAATCAGCACCTCTTGTAGTTCCCTCTGCTCATGGTCACGTTTTCGGTCGGCAGTCATGCTGGAGGCGATGGAGGCGAACGCGAGCTGGGATGGTGTAAGCTGCCAGTCGATGCTGACTGGATGGGAGCGACCCGGTGAAAGTCTTCCTGCTCCACGGGGAGAAGCGCCAAGGGGGAGGCAGAGGGAGGAGGGAGGACGAAGGAGGGAGGAAGAAGGGAGGAGGAGAGGGAGGAGGAGAGGGAGGAGAGGGAGGAGGAGGAGAGGGAGGAGGAGGAAGAGGGAGAAAGGAGGAGGGAGAGAGGAAGGAGGGAGGAGGACTTGGCTGAGAATGACGGTGGCAGCAGGAATGCAGAGGTACATCGAGTGGCAGAACACGTGCTTGACAACGGAGGAGATGCGAAGGGGAAGGTTCATTGAGATGCCGGCTCTGCATCAGACTGGCTTGTTTCTCACCTCCTCCGTTCTTGAGGCCCGTCCTAGTCACGTTCCTCAGCAGTCCTGACGGGGAGCAGGTGACGGGAGGGAGGTACCGGGACGGGAAGGGAGGGAGGGAGGAGCTGGGAGGAGACGTGGACGTCCCTGTGGACTACTTCTACTGGCTCTCCTTCTTCCATGCGGGGAAGACATGCGGGAAGGTGAGACGAGCCGTCGGGGGGAGTGACATAAGGGAGAGTGAAGGTGCCGCAAGTACTCTTCAGCTGGCGACAACATCCCCGTCAGGTTCTCTTCTCTCCTCTCCTCTCCTCTCCCCTCCTCCTCCTCTCCTGATCCCTCCTCCTCCTCCTGCTCTCCTCCTCTCCTGTTCCCTCATCCTCTCCTCTCCCCTCCTCCCCTCCCCTCCTCTCCTCTCCTCCTCCTCCTCCTCTGCTCTGCTCTGCTCTGCTCTCATCCCCTCCCCTCCCCTCTCTGCTTCCCCTTGCACTTCTCTGCCACTCCACCTGGCTCGCCTCCTCCCTTGCTTGCTTGCATGTTCTCGTGCTGAATCAGACGCAGCACACGCGAACTCACGGGAGACTATCCATCGACAACCTGAGGAAGATGAAGGTGGAGAAACTGCTACTTTTCTCCTTCCTCCTCCTCCACTTGTCCTCCTCTCCCAATCCCACGCAACAACAACAACAACAACAACAACAACAACAACAACAACAACAATAACAACAACAACAACAACAACAACAACAACAACAACAACAACATCTCTCCTCCTCCGCCTCGCCTTACTCCTTTCATCTCCTCTCCGCCTGAACTACTTCAGGTTCACTTCCTCCTCTGCCCTGGAGCTCCAGCTCACGGCAAGAACGTCGAGGTCTGGAGTGTGGGAAGGACGTTGGATGAGTGGGAGGCAGACCTGAAGCAGTACCCGCTCGCTCCTCCGGTCCTCTGCTGAACCTTCCTCTCCCCCCCCCCTCACCTCCCCCGCAGAAGGTCAGGAGCATCGAGTGGAAACCCGGACGTCCCTTGCCTGGTACACACCTGCTGCTGCTGCTGCTGCTGCTGCTGCTGCTGCTGCTGCTGCTGCTGCTGCTGCTGCTGCTGCTGCTGCTGCTGCTGCTGCTGCTGCTGCTGCTGCTGCTGCTGCTGCTGCTGCTGCTGCTGCTGCTGCTGCTGCTGCTGCTGCTGCTGCTGCTGCTGCTGCTGCTGCTGCTGCTGCTGCTGCTGCTGCTGCTGCTGCTGCTGCTGCTGCTGCTGCTGCTGCTGCTTCCTGCTGCTGCTGCTGCTGCTGCTTCCTGCTGCTGCTGCTGCTGCTGCTTCCTGCTGCTGCTGCTGCTGCTCAGCACTGCGAAAGTGAACTGACAGAGATCGCAGGAAAGGTGAAGACTTGGCGGAAGAATGCGGCGGCGGAGTGACGATGAGCAGGAGGAGGGGGAGGAGGCGCGACCTGTTCGTCTATTCGCTTTCGGCCATCCTAAAGCAAGAACTCGCGTACGCGAGCAGGTGAAGCAGAACAACAAATCCCTCATCCCTTCCCTCTCCTCGTCCCTTCCTCCTCCTCCTCAGTCTCTTCCTCTGCTTCTGTCCCTGAGACCCCCCAGGTGAAGGACTGGGATGACGAGTACGACTGGTTCGTCGCCTGAGGAGGCGGCAGGTCAGGAGGAGGGGGAGGAGGGTCCTCGCAGCGTCTTCGTCGTCACGCTGCGGGTGCCAGGCCTCGTCTCCCTGCGGTGACGTCAGCGGAGATTGCGAGGAGGAGGAGAGATACTCGTAGATGGTGATGGCAATAGAGCTTCCTCCCCTTTCTCCTCCTTCCCTTCCTCCTCGTTCTCGGGTCGACCTCCACTCCATCTCCTTCGCGATCATCTTCTCCTTCTGCTTGATCTTCTCGCTCGCATGCTGCATCTTGTCAGGCCCCTCTCCTCCTCCTCCTCCTCCTCATCATCATCATCACCACCACCACCACCCTCACCATCTGTCTTCGTTCTTCTCGCCACGCTCGATGCTCAAGGCTGGACATCTTCGAGCTTGAGGAGACTGGAGTTCTGTAGGACGTCCCTCCTGTTGAGCTTCCTCCTCCTGCTCCTCCTCTCTCCTGTTTCATTCCCAGCTCTTGATGAGATAGGAGGCCCGACGAGCTCCACGAGCCAGCGGCAGGGGAGGATGCGGGAGAGAGCGAAGAGGAGACAGAGTTCTCCTTGCGGCGCCTTCGTCTGCCTGCGATACCTGTCACTTGCTAGGGAAGCAAGGGGGAGGAGGAGGAGGAGACCTTGATATCGGCGGGAGTGCTGGGAGCTGGCAGAGAGAGGGGGGAGGGGGGAGAGTGAGAGAGCGATAGGAGAGGAGCGAGCGATTGAAGTTGAGCCAGTCTGCCAAGAGCTGAGGAGGAGGACTGAGACAGAGAGAAAAACCTGAAGCATAGAACTACCTGTGATCTCCTCCTCCTCCTCCTCCTCCTCCTCCTCCTCCTCCTTTCGAAGGCCAGGCGTCGGCTCGCGAGGTTGGGGGAGGAAGGATCTATCGCGCAAGGAAGCGAGAGCTTCGCTGCGCGCAAGGAGGCCAAGGGGGTCGGAGAGCAGCAGGTCCTTCACGCCCCAGACGTCTGGCTGAGGGGAGGGAGTGAAACCAATTTCCGCACTAACCTGCTTCCTCCTCCGTCAGTCTGAGACGCAACAAGCAGCTCACTCGCCTCCTCCTCCCTCTGATCGCTGACTGGACTCAGACTGTGAGCATGCGGCAAATTGTACTCCCTTCCTCCTCCTCCTCCTCCTCCTCCTCCACTTCGTTCTCTTCCTCCTCTTCCTCCTCGTCCTCGTGATTTGTCGCTTTCAGTCGTGCGGATCCACTCACGAGCTCTTTTGAAATCCTCTGAAAACAGATGAATAGTAAGAAAGAGGCAGGGAAGGAGGAGGAGGAGGAGGAGGAGTGACGATGTGATCTGACCGTTGGGGTCGAGGGTGGGGGCGCGAGAGAGTCGAATGTCGAAATGAAGGATGGAGGGAAGAAACCCCTCGACTTGCAATCGCTTCACAAAGTCAGAGGAGAAGGAGGAGGAGGAGGAGGAGGAGGAGGAGGAGGAGGAGGAGGAGGAGGAGGAGGAGGAGGAGAAAGAGGAGAACACAGTCTGGAGGAGGAGGAGGAGGAGGAGGAGGAGGAGGAGGAGGAGGAGAGGGAGGAGGCGGTGAAGAAGGAAGAGTTTACAGGATTTTGATTTTTCTTGATCTGATGAGCAATGGCCTGATGAAGGTTCCAAGTCATTCAACTCTTTCTCTTCTCCCTTGTCTCTTCCTCTCTCAAGCCTGCTTCCTGCCACAACCTTTCCCCCTACCCCTTGCCCCATCTCCTCTCTCTCTTCCTCCTGCTCCTGCTCCTGCTCCTGCTCCTGCTCCTGCTCCTGCTCCTGCTCCTGCTCCTGCTCCTCCATGCTTACACTCTGTCTTGTACCCCCATAAACAAGATTTCCATTCCTCCAGCTCAGCTGCTGGACGAATCTGAAACCTCCCGTAAGGCATCAAGACGATCCTGACTCCCATCCTCCCCCTCCCCTCCTCCCTTCTGGAAGCGAGCAAGGAGAAGCAGAGTGATCGAGGGAGAAAGAGAAAGAAGGGAGGAAGAGAGGCACGAGGAGAGGGAGGAGAAAGGAAGGAGAGATGTTTCGACCTCTGCTCTAGATGCTTCCCCTTGTCTCTGTTCTTGTCGCTGTAAAACTCCAGCAGCAGGCGAGAGAGAGGAAGTCGAACCATCCCAAGGAAATCATCCCGCTGATCGACCATCAGCATCTTTTTCTTGTCTCATTCTTCCTCTTTTTCCTCTTGTTAAATTGACCTTGTTCTTTTAATTTTTTTTTGTGTTCTT